CAGACTTTATATCCAGAAGGTAGGATCAAATTTATCAAACTTATTTCAATTCCTGTTCTCATTTGGCATAAAACTACACCACCTGTAAACCGAGCTAGTGCAACTTGCCAAATGTTTGAGTAGCTTTTCCATGACTGACTCTTTCTCACAGCTCAGTCCTGGTCCTTCTTGAGCCCTGATTACCAGAAAAATTTCCATGAGTGCCTTGCATCATGCTTTAAGTCAGTTAGAAATGTTCCAGTGAGAGCTCTGTCCTGAGTATCTCTCATTAAAAACTTCCACTGGCTTCATACACAAGGGTTTTTTTTGGTGTGATATCATTCATAAAGCTGACTTCTGGGATAGACAAAACGAAACTTGCTGTAGCTACAGTCAGATGCCTCTGAAATTGGAAACAGTGTTCTCCTCCAAGGTCAGCTCCTCATTAGTAAAGGAAAATATTTTTAAGTGCTGGTTTAAGCAATTTGATAGTGCATCCAGAGGCAGGCTGCATTTCAGGATTGCTCAAGGAAACAGAGGAAATGAACCATGTAAATTCTTTGTCAAACAGTTTTCTGCACTCTTCAAATCTATTTTAAGATTGAACATCTGCATGAAAGCCTTAGCTTAGTTATATTTCTTCAGACCTTCTGCAGAAATATCTTTATTTTGGTACAGATCCAGAAACCAATCTTAGCTTCAACTGGAAATCAAATTTGAAATCCTAATTCTTTGTTTCTTTTCAACAGAACAGCCTCTGAAAGGACAGCTTTGAGGAGTCCAAAAGGGCTTGGACACAGCTGGCATACAGTCAGTTACAGCTTCCTTCTCCACAGGATTTGATTTTATTTTCTGCCTTGCTCAAGTCTATTTTTAAAGTTGTTTGCATTTTTCTTTCATTTTTTTTCTTTTCTTTTTTTAATTGGTTAGGCAGCCCCTTAGAGATGTTCTACAGAATACCTGACCTCTCACAGTCAGATGTTCCAATGAACAGAAAGAAAACAGCTTGCTCAGCTGAAGCACCATAATTAGCATATACTGTGGTAACTCTCAGTCCTTCTCTAACCTGCTGGCTACACAGCGTGATTTCCTTGGTATTTTTTTGTGTTTTGCTTTTAAGCATAAGTGTAATATTACTGTAAATCACCAGATGGCATTGCTGCAGATAACTTGAAAATTCCTGTTTATCTGACTGTATAGAGGATAGATATTAAGAAAATACTATTGGAGTCTAGTGAAGTTTTTCTGATGTTACTATTTGAGCTCTGTTACAGAGATGTCATTTTCAAATTAAACATATCCAATTTCAGTTATGTATCCACATGTGCTAATGCCTGAGCCCTCACAATGTCATAAGGTTTGTTTGCAGCAAAGGAACGTGCACAGCTGCACAGGCATGGTTTAGAAACATACACACAAAAAATGTGGGAGAAAGATGTTCTTTAGAGTACTTTAAAATTTCATTGCTTCCTAATTACTGTATTCTTTAAGCTCATTGAAATGATTTACAGACTTTTAGAACTGTTAAAAGGCTACCTATTTAGTGACCGAGTCTATTGGCTGAAGAGTTTCAGCTACAATGGTTGTTGCAGCTGCAAATAACCTGGGATCAAATTATGTAATAACTCACAGCTCATTAAATTCTTCTGAAAAGACCAAATTACATGGATGTTAATTTTTAGTGCAGGTATATAACGTATGCCAGCACATCAGAATTGCTGTAGCTCCCAGCCTGCACAGTCCTGCTCCCAGGGTCGGTGCCTCCAAGTGTATGACTGACACTGAGCAAGCAAATAGGAGGGTGAATGGACCTTCTCAACTGCTTAGCTTTCAAGGCATGAAGAAGTTGTGACACGGCACTTACTTCTATCTCCAGATAAAGTGGTGAGATTGTATTTTCTTTGTTTCAAAACCTTTCATTTAAAAACAAGGATAAAACATCATTTCACATACAAGATTGCCTTATGAACAAAGTACTCGCCTCCCAAATACATGCAGAAACTTCACTTTGGTGAGGTTAGGATTTTTTTTTTCCCCACTCACAGTACTACATTTTGTCTCACTGATGACAACAGCTTTGTGTCTACACTCCTCACTTTCACACCTGGGCTCAGTTTCAGCCAGATACAGTCCCCACAGCATTGCCGTGATAGCATCAACACCAGCACAGGCTGAAGAGGCCACCAGTTTGTCAGTGACCCGCTGTTGAGCTAGCATGTTAGCACTGGGTTTAGATTTAGGCTGAGCACAGCCTCAGGAACTGAACATCTATGCCACTAGAGATGTATTTCTAATTTCAGAAGTAAACTGCCAACACCAAACTGCCAAAAGGAAACTAAAACCTGAGGCTGCAACCACTGTAGCATTAGGCTAGCAGGCAGAGGTGAGTGTCATTGTTGTGGTTAGTGCTTGTTTAGTACTTTTATCCAGATGCCCTGGAAACATGTGGGTCAATGCTCTGGAGGAATAATTTTGAATCCAGTGGACAGACAGCTCTCTTGCCTTATCCATCATCATCAAGTTGGCATTCTTCTGGGCTTCCAACAGTCGGAGAAATTCCCAGTACCAGTGTATGAAGACAGCTTTGTGCATTAGTGAATGAAAAGCAGGTCCCTGGAGGAGTTGCTAATGTTGATGAAAAGAACCTTGCCTGGCTGAACAGGCAAAGGTGTTTTTGGGGCAGGAGGACAGCTATCACATTTGGGGATGTTAAATCTGTAGTTTAGGTCATAACTGTGCTGTTATCTCCCACAAAAGCATTTGAAAAATCACCTCAGTGGAGGTCAGTCTAAGGTACTTCACATCTGTCTAGCTGTTGGGCCATTTCCCATTTTATTGAAGCAGGTATTAATAGAAACCATCAATGATACACTTCACGTTATTTCTCTTCTGTGAGCCAGTCACAGGCAAGAGCAAGGTAGTCAATATAGATACTTTTGGATGGAATTAGCTCTAATCCTCATTAAATGGACAGTGGCATAGAAGTCAGGTAGTAAAAGAGACAAGCTGTCTGAAATGCTACCAGTGCAAATTAAAACATGAAAAAGATAACTCAGTAACATTCCCAGAGCAGATAATAGATACCTACAGCAGTCTTTAAATGCTTCTATGGATGTCCAGAGAGAGGGCTGCAAATCATTCTTCTCTCTGCATTTTAAGGGCTGACTAGAGAAGCAGTAACCCAAGATAGACTTGCTGGATTACATTTTTCAATAACATAGCTTTATTCGTATGATTTTTTTAATAAAGCCAGCTTCCCAGAGAAAAGACCAGGCCTCTGTTTGTTGTTGTACTACAAAAAAAGGAGCATAAACAAGACAGAGTTTACAATAATGGCTTTCCTCTTTTGGGTTTTCCAGTGTTTTTGGCTGATCTATAATGCCATTTACACACCATCATCCTCAACCAGAGATACCATTTTTCTAAGTGACAGAAACAAGCTCTTATATAAAGATAATTAAAAAATAAATAGTTATCCTCTTCTATATTAACGAATACAGTTATTTTGAAAAAGGAGAAGTGCTAACAAAGCCATTGTCAAAGAACTGAAAAACCACTCTGAGATATCCAAGTCGGTCTAACAAAGGCAAATGCACACTGAAAAATCCCTGAAAACTCCCACCCTTCAGCTTTTGCCTCAGAATAAATTTCACACAAACTAATACCGTAAAATGAAGTAACACACACCCTATGTAAATCCTGTCTTTGTGGTGTGGGGCAAAAACCCGTATGCATGCAAGAACTACTCCTACAGCAGAAATGAATACTATTCCTCAAGGGTTAGTGATTTAGATGAGAACTGTTCTGCAACATTTGTTAAAAATGCTTTGATGCTTTGTGATGTACTGCCAGTGCATTTCCAAGAGTACTTAAACTTGATATTTTTAGAAAAATCCATTAAATAAACTGGACAATTTTGGTAAAAGGATTGCATGTGTCGTTTTATGACATAAACCAATTGACAAGTGGCTTTAAAAAAGACTGGAGTGAGAGCTAAGGAACTTACAAGGCATAAAAAAACTGCACCTGTGAGATAACACACAAAAAGGCAAAAGTTTAGAGTACAGAAAACAGAAAATAAAGAACCAGGAAAACAGATAGTAGGTACAGTGAAATACTTATAATGGTCAATATTAGTCATGAATATGAATAGTAAATGAAGCTCATATAAACTAGTGGAATGGATGCAGAGAAATCAAAAGAAAGAGGCCTTCTCTCATCCTCCCACAGGGAAGAGCACACACACGTAATGGCTCCTGTTTCCTGTTTTCCTGAATGAGATTTGGATTTTGGTTCCTGGCTTGTTTCTTCTTCCCCTTCAGCTCTAATTTTGGTGACAGAATGTGGAGTTCATGAACGTTATTTCCAAAAGTAAAGCAACCTCAAACATTAAAAGGGAGGTTTCGAAGTCTCACATGTAGACCTAAACCTCTTCCTTTTGCAAGGCTTGGATAGTTTGAACTGCAGAAGGAATAAGAGTAGAATATGAACACGCATGTTTTGACCTGTAGACATCACCTTTTCTTCATCCCCACCTCTGAGATATGGCCTAGAGAGCTGTAAAAGTCTCTCTGAACCATTAAAAATCACATCCAACAACTTGTAGCTTTTAGAAAAGACAAAGATACCTCCTCTTTCCAGAAAAATTCAGCAGAGGGACCTTCCTCTGCTGGTAAAAGACAGCAGAACTGCTAACCCAGAGCCTTCTTGTTCAGCCTTGCCAAACAGTGTTTGTTCTTTTGGGGAGGAGAGCAAAAGGAGACATGACTTTGGTTGGACTTCCCTTCTATGTGCTTTTACCTCCAAATAAATTAGCTTAGATGTAGGAATTAATCACGACTGCATCAGCCTTGTTCTGTGCACGGTTTTAGGCTGATTAGTCTGTCTAGCTCCTTGGCCAAACACAGACTCTCTTACAGGTTTGATGTCTGACAGAGAAGACCTCATCACTGATCTGATGGAGCTGCACAGAAAAGTATCTTCCCTTTCCACCACCCCTCTGGATTTCCCTTTTTACTCACCAGTACTGCTCTGGATGGTCCTCACTGTGGTGGTTGTACGTGGAGGAGATGAGGACCGCAGTGATATGCACTCATCATCCTGGGAACAGCCCTTCTCAATGGCTCTGACGTAGCTGTGGCTCCTCATGCGGAAGCAGCCTGGCATGGGCAGATCCAGAGCCTCCACTGCTTGAGATTCCAGTTCACTAAACACCGACTCGCAGACAGATTCGAACTGACCATTCACCTCCATCTCGCTCACCTGCAGGCAAAGACTGGGCAAGTTCAGTACATCCCATGCACCAGCCTACCCTGTACAAACACAAGCTACAGTGGCACAATGGCCAACAGCTGTTAAAAAGTCCCTTCACACATGAAGAACAGGTGAATGGCACACAAACACATCACATTTTACAAAGCAAAAGTTTTAGGGGAAAAAAATAATCATAGAATCATAGAACAGTTTTGGCTGTAAGAGACCTTCAAGATCATCAAGTCGAACCTTCGTCCTAGCCCTAACAACACCGCTAAACCATGTCCCTCAGCACAACATCCACTCGTCTCTTAAACAGCTCCAGGGACGGTGACTCAACCACCTCCCTGGGCAGCCTGTTCCAATGCCTGACAACCCTCTCAGTAAAGAAATTCTTTCTAATATCGAATCTGAACCTCCCCTGGTGCAACTTAAGGCCATTTCTCCTTGTCCTATCACTCACCACTAGGGAGAATAGACCAGCCCCCACCTCGCTACAACCTCCTTTCAAGTAGTTGTAGAGAGTCATAAGGTCTCCCCTCAGTCTGCTAAACCGAAGTCCCAAAAGGGGAGACTGAGGCTTTAGGTAGAGATTCAGGAGAGTTTATACTCTTTGTACTTGCTGAGACTGGTGGGAATCTGGGAGTCCTCATAGCAGCACCTGCTTTATCTTACGTTGAGTCCATAGCAGAGGTTGAACCTCTAGCCCTTATGACCACTGCACTGAAAACCAAAAATCACTCTTTCTTTGGACAGTGAGAAGAATGATGAAAAAGAAGACAGGCTTAACCCCAGCACACAATCAGCGCAAGCCACAGACAAACACAGTGATAAACCCAAGGGTTTGGGAGGTTTGAGGGTAGAAGAGGTAACCAACAGTTGGGAAGGGGAGGCTGATAAGGGAACCAGCTTTGCTGCAGAGGAAAAATGTATAACTACATCTCTGGGCTGACTCCTTTGGTTGTGAGAGAGGCAAGGGAATTCTTAGACCCTTTGTGGAGCAGACACTAGGTGGTGACAAAGACTTGCACTCATAGAGGGTTAAAGAACATTCAAAAAACGTGCGACTTTGCTGCAGGTATTACAAACCCTGAAACCATTTATCTTGGCTTAATTAGCAATGGATGCTCATGTTTCTAAACTGAGAATAGAGCCCTGAGCTTGGCATTAAAGCACAATCATTATCACTACAGGAAACATGCACACGGAAATCATCACTGGAGAATTTTATTAGTTTTCAAGCATGCAAAAGCCAAGATTGCACGAGAAAATAAGGCTATGTTAAGGTGGTAGAAAAAAAACCATTGGAAATTCTTTTCCAGGATTTTTACCATGGAAAACATTGTGCTGAGTATTTGTACATATAAATGGAAAGGGAAATTTTGAAAAGCAGAACATATCTTTTCAAAACGAAACTGCTTAAAAGATCATGGAAAACTAGTGGATAGAACATCATAAAGAACATCCTACAGTCATATCCCCAAATAAATATCTCTGAATTAATGCTTTTAAAAACATACACCTACTTCTTTGTATTGGCAAATAACATTCACACTTTGGCAGACAGCTTTGTGTAAGTGTTAGGTGCCCTGCTACGTAAGTAATCTAACCTGATGTTCATATAGTTGCCTCTGAAAACTGGACTTCAGTGCTGTTTCCTCCTAGATACATCCTGACCCTCCTTCTAGAGGAACAGCCCATACCCTGTGCGAAGTGCCTCACTATAAAATACACCAGCAAATACTCTGAGGTTGCAATGTCCAAACATCGAATATTGCAGAAATTCAGACTACAGTTCCATTCTGAATAGCACATGTATTTGTTACAGCCACAGCTGAAGTCCTGGCATCAGTGATGTCATGCGCTTTTTTTGACATTGCAATGATGTAATATGTGAATAATAAAGGGCCAGTACCTGGCACCACAAATCCTGCCCTGCTGCACTTCAGGACTAATGTAAGAAAATTCTTTTATTCAAGTGATTTATTCAAATGACCCACCTAAGCAAACAGGCCAAGAATCATACCAAGGAGCTAGAGGATTTAGCAGGTGAACTGCTAGCCCATTGACCCGTGGAGTGCTGGCACTTCTGCATATTTTCCAGATTTGTCCCTCACCAATTCAACTGTACAAGTATATATGCAAAGATGGGCTATTTTATGATGCCAAAACTCATAAACTGAATGTGTCACTAAGGTATTTAGGTTTTTTACAGTTCAGAATAAGCATTAAGAGATCTTACAGAATTTCAGGGCTTATAATACTGTTGCACTCAATACATATACTGCGAGATTTCTACTATATAGGTGAAAATTTCAGATGTGTATAGGGTTAAGAATGTATACAGTAGAATAAAGAAAATAATAAAATACCAATAAAATAGTGAAATTCCAATACTACAGACTTCATTTTTTGTTAGCATCTCACTTAGCATGTGACCATGTTCTATTTTTGGAATGGATTTCAGGTTCTAAGCACAAGATCCTTAAGAGAACCCTGTTTAAAGATACTGTTGATGAGCGCCTACTATTGGTGATAAGAAAATAAAGAAAAATAAAAGAAAAATAAAAAATGAGGCTGCTCCTTCAAACAATTTGCATGTTGTGCCACTCATCCATTTGCAAAGGGCAGGTTATGGTATTACCAAGCGTTACCCTCTAAGAACCAAGACTGTGCGGAAACATTCCCGTTTTTGTAAAAACGTTTTGAAAAACATGTGGCATGCAACAGCCTGATTCCACTTAAAGCAAAATCAAATTTCTTTCATTGCAAGGTCACAGCCAGTGCTCAGCATGGCAGCTGCTCTCCAGGCTGCTGCGGGTGTGTGTCACTCACCTGACTGATGGTGCTCATGGCTCTCATGTAGCTCTCGTTGCGGGAGCGAAACTTGGGGGATGTCAGCAGCCCTGCAGGGTCCAGGCTGTCCAGGCTCCTGTTGATGGAGACTTCGCTCACTGCCCTCAGGTAACTGTGGCTCCGGATCTGAAGTTTTGGTGAATGTTCACTGGATATCCTGGAAGGATTGGGAGGAAAGAAAAAAAAATTAAAAAATAAATAAACAGATATTACATCAAATCTAAATGGCCTCACCAGGCGTGGGATAAAGAAAGGAGAGGATGACTTGTAAGATTGCCAGCATGGACCTAAATACATCAGCTAAACATCCACATCTTGAAACAGAGTTGGTAGGGATCGTAGAGGCTCTATTCCTCTAAAAGGTTGCTCCTCTGCAAAAACCTGGTACTGATCAGACCTGCTGGTGCTGTGACTCTGGCACTCATGTATGGACCTTTGTACTGGGGCTGCTTCTTGTGGAGCTTTCAAGGATGTAGGGGTAAATAGGGTATGCAGATCATACAAAACATTCAAATGCACTCATTATACACCTTAAGCTGGGAAATCATTCCAAGAACTGGGGTCACTTGATAAGGTTTGATGTGCTTTAAACTTTGTTTTATTCCTGCATTAAGCGGAAAGTTGAGAAAACATAGGCTAGGGAATAAGCTTTATATAACTTGATGTCAGATTAGAAGTTTAAAACACATAGTTATATTTCTGAAGTGATAACATTTCCCAGATTTCCAATACAAGTGACAGGTAAGATGTACAAGTAGTCAGAAACAAACCAAAACATTTCCACAGGTAATATGCTTAAACTGCAGTAGTCCTGCCATATGTGCTTAGAGTCAACTAGCAAAGGTTATAACCTGTAGCTGCAATCCACCTGTCCTCTGAAAATGTTGGCTAAGCACTGTCCTCATAATCTGATGTGAATCACAAAAAGCGATCCATGTCGTGCCTCTTATGCTATATAATTTGCTTGGATATTTCTTTTTAAGCAATCAATGGTTATAGTATTGGAAAGGTGATTCTTTAATATCTTTATTGGGATATCTTTAATATTCTCCAAGTATTATGAATGAAAAAAAAATACTAACTACATTTTCTGTTTATAAATGTAAATCTCACATTAATCTTTGCAGATGTATGAAAAAAAATTGTAACCTAATTACAGGCTTAATCTCAGTTCCCTTGTCTTCAGAAATACATACACAACTGACCTGAAAGAAGAGAATCCATTTCACGTCTAATTCCTCAAGCATTTGCAGATATTTTGTATTCAAGTAGCTAATGATGGTAATTAGTATGAGCAATTTCCCAGTGGCAAGCACAATTCTGGTAACTGTCAATGTATTTTAGGAGGACAATTCCATTGTGTAATTGCTCACCTAAGTAGTTCAGAAACTGGGTCTGTTTCTGAATGGTACAATATAATAATAAAATCTAGGTCATCTCCACAAGACCATATTCTCTGGATGCTAATTACCTGCCTAATAAAAATACGTAAACTTAGGCTAATTATTCAGTGTTCCTGTTACAAGATGATAAAGCCTTTGCTTGCCATTTTCACTGTCTGTATGGTACAATACTTGCAGCAATCATATTCACATACTTTGACTCTTTATGCCATTTGATTCCACATGACAAAAGTAGAAATCTTTTTAGACATCATAATTAGTGGTATTTCATACTCAAAAAAAGGAAGAGAAAATAATGAAAAATGATAATTACTTGCAGTTAGCTGTAACATTTTGATAACTAACATTAACCATGGAACTCTTGGAAGAAAATTTCCTGTCTGTTATTTGATAAAAAAATAAAGAAATAAAATTTTTTAAAAAGAGATAAAATAGAATGAATAATTCAACAGACAATTTTTCAGATGTGTATGAGCATCTTCACCATCCTGCAGATCTGTAAAGTGATGAGCATTGCCTGAAATGTGTTTCTTAAGTTAATTCAAAATGTATTTTATGAATATGTTGTGAACAGTTTGCTGCCAATATGTGACATGCAAAATTCAAATATGCTTGATTAGCTGCCAGTTAGTCAAATACGTCACCTGGGGCTCTCACTGTTCACTGATGAGCTGAGCTCACAAGAACACTGCAGCACATCACCAAATTCAGGGCACAGATATTGCAAGACAGAAATTTGCAAGTAATGAGGCAAGTGCCCTTTAGAGATCGGAACCAGTATGACAAGATGGAGGTACCCACAGCAGCAAGATTTTGCTGTGGCAGCCAGAGTACAGGTCAGATCAGATGCTCCAAGTGTCATGGAAACCCACCACAAAAGGTATAGAAATTAATTTTCTGTATGCATTAGTATTGCATAGCAATACTTCCCCAACTCTGCCTGAAACAAGGGCATCCATCCGTGAGAGTAAATGTTGTTTCAGATGTGGGTGATCAGTACAGCTGCCTTCTTTCTTTTTCTGACACGTTTTGTTCCTGACTATACGACTGGCCAGTTTGACACATACCTAGAACGATATTTTACAGGTGGCCAGTTATCTTAGCCTGCACATACTTCCCATCTGGTGTACAAAACAGACTACAATATCGGCAGCTGTTGGAGGAGGTGGGTCCTTGCTTACTGATTGCTACAATCACTGTTCCACTAGATACAGTAACATGGGGGAAAATAAAAAAAGGAAGAAAAAGGATTTAAAGCATAGTCAAAGAAACCTCAGAAGATTTGCATTTATAATGGTTACTGCTGCTCTTACAGCTGTGTAATAAATTGTCACTGTATTCTACAGTACACTTTAATGAACAGCTAAAATGCCACTGGAAATTTTGAATATATTCCATTTAGGAATAAATCTGGCTATGTATGAAAGGGGGAGATCTGAATGTCTAATTTATTTTCCCAGAGTTACTATTACCAGTAATCTGTAAATAAGAATATTATTTCAAGGTCCTTTCCAACCTCTAACATTCTGTGATTCTGTGACTGTGATTCTGTGATTCTTTCTTAAGGGTTCCACTCCACTATCTATTTATTCTGCATTACCTAAACTTCTGTTTGTGCCATCACAATTTCCACAACTAAGTATGACAGACAAGGGACTGAGTGAGACTTTGGGCCAGCTCTGTGGCCAATACAAAACGGTCTTTTAGTGCTGCTCACTGCATTGGATGTAGTAATTGGCAGAAGGAGGATGTGAATTATTAAAGATCTTGAATGAGCTCCTCAAGCATGCCACACCACCGTGTGACACCCATAGTCACACCCTGGTGTGACAAGGCACAAGCACTGAATAATAGTCCTGAATTCAATGTTGGGGCCCTTTCAGAGGAGCTTATATACAGCCCATCCTTACTGCTGTGGTAAAAGAGATTTTTGTCCGGGAGGCTTCTAGTTCTTTGTGGATACACGATGTGATGGTGTTGGTTGAAGCAGCACTTGGTGAGCTTGCCGCAGGCATGGAGAGCCAGGCATGTTTTGGGGCTGAGGCATCCCCTAAGGCAACATGCTGCATTCGCAGGTGGCAGGCCCCCAAACTGGCTGCACCATCCTTTTTCCCCACACTGCTGCCCTTGCCCCAGGCCTCACCCCAGAGGACGGGAGCATGGCCACAACAGCAACATGCCGACAGTGCACAGGGCAAGAGTAATAGAATAGCCCTGCTAGATGTGTTTTCCAAGAACCAGAGCAGGAGACATCAGGAGAAGAAGACAGCTTTGTGTTTCTGCGGCTCTGCTGGCCACTGTTGTGGATGTCCCAAGGGGGACACACTGTGACTCAGGGAAGACTGAGGTACTCACCCTATGAGTGTAAAACACTACTGAAAGCCTGTGAGGGGCTCTGAGAGTCAGGAGAGTGTTCATTTAAGCAGAAAATGTGTTTTAGCAAAACATCTAAACAGAAGATTATGTAGGTGTGTAAAGGAAATCTTTAAGCTACCTTTGCATACTGCCCTTTGGTTTCTTCTCTGTATGTTTCAGACACAACGAGGCTGGTTCTCCCCCATCATTTATTTCAAATGAAGAAATTAAAAGATTTCAAATGCACACACTTAATCACCCTTTCCACTGCTGCTACATACGTGTTAAGAAATACTTTTAACCCACTGTAACATATGTGCTTGTATTTACATGGTCTTGATTCAGATGGAAACCCATTTTGGTCCCTAATTTGTGTAACTGACTATTTGCAGAGTAAGGAGCTGATTAAGTAAGCATGATAGGAGCTAGACTAGAGGTTTAGAGGAGCTTTGCTAGAGGTTTGCACAGGGAGGTCTGAGACAGAGGCAGTCTCAGACTTGTGCCTGGCTCAGATGATGGTCTAGGTTGAACAAAGGGGGAAGGAAAGCTATACACGATCTTTAGATACTGTCTTGTAATTTCTGACGTATATGCTGGCCATAATAATGTATTAAAGGGTTTAAAATGCATTATTAGCATATTAAATTCAAATAGCTTTGAACATATCCCTGGAAGAGCTCCTCCGCCTTCAAAATGTCTTTCAAATGCCAAAGAGAAGGTAGGCAACAGTGATTTACAAGAACAGGCAATTTTAATTTTGAATATTTCCTTTTAATTTAAGAAAGCACAATGCACTCTGTTGTATGTGTGCTCTTTTTTTGAAAGACACTTTCATTTATTACATTTAATTTCTGAATGAAAAAGAGTAATGATGGCCATTTTTTCCCCCTGTAGGCCAGACACAATATGTTCCAATGAAAAGTAGTTCTAAGACTGTATTGTCTTCTGCAAGTTTGGCATTCAGATTCAGAGCACAAGGTGCAGTGTTGTGCCAGATGGGTACTGTGCTCTGCCAACAGAAAATGACAAAGCAGAACAGAAAGTCCAGAACCATATCCTGAATACTTCTGGAAACCAGTAGGGGAATGTGCTAGAATTTACCTTTGACCAAACAGAAAGCCTTCAGCATCACACCACACGCAACCCACAACCAAGCAAAAATCACCACTATTGCTAAGTATCCTAGCTCTCATTTTTGTAGCCTACAATGGATAGTTCAGTTCCCTGGGGCTTAATTATCCTTGACTGAATGCCCCACCTCTGGCATGGCTGATGGGCATATCCAACGTACATTTCTGTGCTTCATTTTATTTGCATTTTAGTGTTGCTGGAAGGTAGAAAAATCCAGTGCAGTCTGACACAGGGCAAACACTGAAGGATATCAGGGATGCATATGTAC